CATAACCTTATCAAGATAAATGAAAAATAATTTCTCCCACCCTCAAAATGCACAGTTATGGATATCCATAACTATGAAGGTTATGGGTTACCATAACATTGTAGAGTAATGGCTTGCCATGAATTCCCAGACTGATCATGTTATTGGTGTAAAATCCAAATATTGAATTGTTACCAAGACAAACATGACAATCATTACAAACATACAATATTTAAATTTAAACAACATTCATATTCTATAAGACTATATTTAGATGTTTTGGAGGAGGTGATACTTTTGCAAATTTGAAAGTGCAAGTACAAAAATTACAATTGTGTTATAAAATATATCATAACAAATACAATAAGAAAACTATAGAATAGTCACAACTTTGTTACATCGATTAGTTCTTCTTATCAGCTAGGCTATTTCTTAAAACATATAAATCATTAACTCCCTTGACAATAATTTTAGTTACATCATACTCATTAAATGTAAACATAAATGCAAATTTTTCCTCATCAGACATTTTGGTGAAATCTGGAACTATACTCTCTACTTCCTGAAAAAGTTTTTGCCTACATTCTTCTAAAATTTGAAATTTTAAAGCAAAATGATATTCATCTTCTACCTCCTTTTTACAGAGAGGACATAATCTTTTTTCCAAAGGTAATTTACGGTGTCTACCCTGTTCAATATTTAGATAGCTATTACTTATTCTTATTTTTATAAAATTTGATATCATGTATCGATCTAAATCTATTAATAAAAAAATTTCTAATTTGTATTCTTTTTTTAATTTTCTGTATGTTCTTAATTTGTTTCCATTAGGATTATTTTGGTCGTTAAAAAGACTGTCTTTCCAGAAATCTGTATACCTTTCAGCTAATTTTTTACCTACAGCATTAATAAGGCATTTTTTGGAGAAAGTATTTTGATTTTGCCATACATGATTGAACCCTATTTTGGAAAGAGTATTTTTCAATTTGACCGCAAAACCATTATTTAAATTGAAACTACATTTATAGGCATTTGAAGCATAACTATCTTTTTTGGCATTCATCAAATGGCACCAATAGCCAACAGAAGCCTTTACAGCATCAATAGCAATAGGTAACATACCTATTTCTGCTAAAACTACTGTGTTTACTGCAGCTTTATTTACACCATCAAGATATTTAGCAAATTTTATTTGAAATTTTGATGGTAAAAAAGACAAATATCTACATTCAAGACTTGAATTATCTTTAACTAACATATTAAGTGCCCATATTTCACTGCAATAAAGTAGTATAGGTTTTAAACAACTTTCAAACAGTTTTAAATGTGGATAAATATTAAGTTTATCTGAGAATAAGAGCTTTCTAATGCAAAACATTGCCTTTGAAGCTTTTTTGCACAGATGATTAACAGCATAAGTGAAAATTCCTGAGGGCTTAAATAAAATACCCAAATATTTATATTCATTGGTCAAATCAACTGTGTGTTCATTTCATTTAAAGTTATATTTTTTTAGGACTTTACCTGATTTATTAAATATCAGGGGCGTAGCTGGACTTAATTTGAAGTGCAATCATAACTATCGCCAGCGGAGCGAGGCGAAAATTTTTTTTGGACCATTTTATGCAGAAAATGATAACTTTTTTCGGGCATTTTCCAGGTTTGCCATGCTTATAAAATTCCTTCACGCCCAAACTCCTATTTTGTGAATACTTGTGGACTTTATAGTGATTCTGCAAGGGAGGAGACTATGGACCGCTCAAAGTCCCCAGCTGGTCCAGGGTAGCACCCTAGTCGGGGATCCATGCAGGGTAGCATCGTAGACGGTGGTCCAGGGAAGCGAATCCCCATGAAGCTCCGGGCATATGAGTAATTACAGTGACTGCATTGAACATGAAAAATACCCTATCTGTTTCTTACTATATCATATTTTCATGAAACGATAGTAAAAGTCAGGGAGTTCCGTAATTTGCTGCTTATATTATTAACATGGTTATTTTCAAATATAAAATAAATTTTATAAAACGGGATGATCAGGAAGAGTAGACAACCGAAGCGTTAAAAGCCAATGGACAATTGACAAACCCGGGAACAGATAAGACACAAAAGGAGAAACAAAAGCATTCAACATTGAAAACTAAATACAGATGAAAAACACGGACCCAGAAAATAATGTGGCGACCTCCGGTGCTCCGGAAGGGTAAGCAGTTCCTGCTTCTTGCAAGACACCCGTAGTGTTTCTCACGAAGGTCATTCTCAAATCAAAGGAGAGGTTTCTACGACAACAGTAGAAGGTCATTTGGGACACAGATACCCCAGGTGAATTAATAGTCTTTTGGACGAACGGACAATGGGAATACGAAATCTAACGGCCACTTTTAAGTCTTGACTTATAAGTAAGGGATATAAATCTAAGATGTTTTCAAGGTAATTGTATTGAGCCTGTATCATTAAATGTTAATACTGAATGTAAGACTTAAAGTATAGTTAATATCGAAAGTCCATATATTTATTTTTTTGCCAAGGCAAATTATCGCAGAACTCTCTCGGAGTTGATATCCATTTCTTTGTGAACATGTATGAGCGCCAACGATAGTCTGTCCTGTATCATGGTTGAACGGAGATACGTTTTCGGTCGCCGTAATGCACTAAATGACCGTTCAGTAGTTGATGTGGTTACTGGCATTGTAACTAGAATTGAGAAGATTGCGAATATTGAAGGATATAGTTCCTTATTAGTCACTGCTAGAGACGACATTAGAGATTTTGGCTTTAAACACCGCCCGACACGATAATCTGTAAAGACTAAAGACTATCCGTAATTCAATTTCAGAATATTTTTTTTGTGAAAAAAATGTGCAAGCAAATGATTTTTTGCGTAAAGGCAGCTACGCGCCTGAATATCATAACATTAGTTTTGTTTAGATTTACAGTTAAATTCCACTTATCGCAGTAAGTGTTGAGTTTGTCTAAACATTGTTGTAAGCCAGACTCTGATTCAGATATTAACACAAGGTCATCTGCATATAACAAACAAGATACATTTTTATCATTTAATATAGTAGGGTCACAAGAGCTGTCAAATATGTTAACTAAGTCATTTATATAAAGAAAGAACAATGTAGGGCTTAAAATGCACCCTTGCTTTACACCAACAGTGGAACTGAAGGATTGTGTTAACCCTTCACTAAACTTTACAGAAAATTGAACCTCCCTATACATGTTTTGTAAAATCTTATAAAATGATCCATTTATATTATAAGAACACAGTTTGTGAAAAAGTGCATTTTTATTTATTGTATCAAAAGCTTTTTTAAAGTCTATACAAAGCAGACAAAAATTTTCTTACAAAGGAAGATATTTAAACAATTCCAATGTCTACCAGAAAGAACAGCATCCGCAGCAGTATATATACTAATAGGAGCTGAGCCCATTGAGTCGATTTTAGACAAAAACATGCTAGCACTATTTCTCTCAATCTCTCGCCTGGATAGCTCGATAGAACGTTAAATATTAGAATGGGAATTGGAAATTAGTTCAAATTTTGACAACTCTTTTATTTGTCGTATAAATAAAATTTTGCAAAAATATCAATTGCCAAAAAGCAGAAGAAATTATGGAACATCCTCCATCAAAATATATGTGGAAAAAACAATTGAAGACATCAATAAATGAATACTGGTCTTCAATTTGGACAATAGAATGTAACACAAAATCAACACTTAAACATTTATCTCTTCAAAAAAATCCGGTCAATAATCCACATAACATTTGGAAATGTGTTAGAAATAACCAATATGACATAAAAAAGGCAGAATTCAAATGTAAGCTAGTAACTGGTACCTACATGCTCCAAAGTACTAGGGCAAACTTTAGTAAAAATGCTATTCAAACAAATTGCAAGCTATGCAATGAATCTGAAGAAACCTTGGAACATTTCCTACTACATTGCTTAAGTCTAACTGATGTTAGGCAGCGATATATGGATTAATTATTCAAAATGCTACGAGAAATAGAAAGGGGTGGTACAACAAATGTTATTAATAATGAACTACTTTTTTTTTAGTATTACTCAAAATTATATTAGACTGCTCAGCACTAGACATAATGAGTAATCAACCAATAGACAAGTTGCTAGATATAGAAAGGAAGACACAAGATTTATGCTACCATTTACACATGAAGCGTACACAACTTTTATGTGATATCAAGTGACATGAAAATATAACAGTAATATTAAATATAGTCTGAACAGTCTGCATGGAATGCCAAGCTAACTGGTTCAGTCTATAAATATCAGCATAAAAGATAATGCTATATAATTTTAACATTTGCCTTGGCAGGGCACCTATTGACTGGAAATCGTTAGGTTGTAAAATTTTTATTTATTCATATTGGTGAATCAAAGTGCCGTAATTTGTAACGTGTGAATAATATTATTTTATTTTTTTTTTTTATTAATATCTTTTAAAATATCATCAAAGACATTATAAACTTGTATTTTATTCACTTTAACTAACTAATTTTATTTTAAAATTATATATTTTTCATATCGTAAATATAAAAATATCCGCTTTTTCGGTTAAGTATTTAAAATTTTAATACTCATTCGATAAGTGGAGTGCTCCGATAAAACGGAGGAATATACCAGAACAGAACAGAACAGAACAGATGATTTCAAATTGAAAGCTTTGTCAATAATAGTCTTGAGTGTTAAAATATGATCACTCGTTCTGCAACCACTTCTAAATCCAATTTGTTCATTACAAACTATATTATTCTTTTCAAAAACTTTTCTAATCTATTCTGTAAAATTCTGCTAAAAAATTTCCCTAAACTATCGCCTTTTTATCAGTTTATTAGTCCAAGTAATCATGACTTCTTGAAAGGCGTTACATTAAAAAAATAGGACTAGATATGTCTCGGCCTGACAAAAAAAAAAAGCCTTTAACATTTGAAAAAACTCTGCATGCACATTGTGATCATTGATAAAGAATTTCTATTTCTATAGAGGGCGCCACTATCCCAACCGGATACAGTGTTGTCAAGATTGTTGATATGTATCAGCAACGATATGTTAACTGAATGAGTTTAGGTAATACTGAGGCTACACCTTTCAGAGTTGTTATTGAATATTGTCTGTTTATTTTTTTTCAAGAAATAGAAGAACAGATAGTCTATTATCAGTAGCATTGCATCATCATTTAATGTAGAACTTATATCTCAGGCTAATGAAAATTTAAATATTGACCAATTATGGAATAAATTCAAAGAAGGTAGTAATAAAATAATAGATGATAATGTACCAAGCAAAATAACTAAATCTAAGTACACCAACCCTTGGGCAAATAGGGATATAGACCATTTATGTAAAAAACAACGTAAAGCTTACAACAAAGCTAAAAAAACTGGTAAACAAGAACATAAAGATAAATATAAAAAGTTAAAAGCTACTGCTCAAAGAGAAATAAGAAGAGCCCAGAGCACGTACATGCAAGAAATAATTATCCCCCAGTTAGAAGAAATACCTAAATCTTTCTGGCAATTTATAAAAAGTAAAAAAACAGAAACATCTGGTGTTTCACCATTAAGAGGAAAGGATGGCTTATTATATAGTGAGCCGAATACACAAGCTAACATCCTAAATGAACAATTTAAAAAGGCTTTTACTACCGAAGATACATCCTCTATGCCAAATAAAGGTACAAGTCCCCACCCCACTATGCCAGACATATTTATTAGTAATAATGGCTTATTAAAGTTACTTAAAAACTTAAATCCACACAAAGCCACTGGCCCTGATAATCTGCCAGCATATTTTTTAAATAATTTTGCAGAAGAATTGTCTCCATTTTTGACATTCTTTTTCCAAAAATCTATTGATACTGGTAAAATCCCAACTGATTGGAAGCAGGCTAATGTTGTACCAATATTTAAAAAAGGTGACAAGCATAACGCTATTAATTATAGACCAGTTTCATTAACTGCAATATGTTGCAAAATTCTAGAACACATTATAACAAGCAACATAAGGAAACATCTTACAATTAATAACATATTAAATGATAGTCAACATGGGTTTAGAAGTAAAAGGTCTTGCGAGACCCAACTTATCATCAGTTTACAAGATCTTGCAAAATCATTGGGATATGGTAACCAAATAGATGTTATACTTTTAGATTTTTCCAAAGCTTTCGATAAAGTCCCCCATCAAAGATTAGCCCAGAAATTAAACTTTTATGGTATTAGGAATCAAAATTTAAATTGGATAAATGACTTTTTAGCTGACAGGCAACAGCAGGTACTATTAAATGGTGTTAAATCTTCAAAATTAGCTGTTGATTCTGGTGTCCCTCAGGGAACAGTTTTAGGCCCAACATTATTTTTACTCTTTATTAATGACCTACCCGAACATGTAAATTGCAATGCAAGACTTTTTGCAGATGACTGTTTATTGTATAGAAATGTTAATAATAGTTCTGATGCCAAATTACTTCAAAAAGATTTATCTAGTTTAGTACAATGGGAAGAGGACTGGCAAATGAATTTTAATCCTGAGAAGTGTTATGTTATTCATATTTCTAAAAAAAGTAAACCTTCCACTTTTGATTATAGATTGCACAATCATGTTTTAGGAGCAGTAAAAGACAGTAAATATTTAGGTGTAACTATAAGCCATGATCTTGATTGGGGAACACATATAAACAATATTACCTGTAAGGCAAATAAAACCTTAGGTTTTCTTCCTAGGAACTTAAAAAACTGCACACGTAAGGTTAAAAACCTTACGTACACATCACTTGTCCGTCCAGTCGTCAAATACTCTTCCCCTGTATGGGATCCGTACAAAAAAAACACATCACTCAGGTTGAGCAGGTACAGCGTAAGGCAGCCAGGTTTGTCTTCAATGATTATAAAGACAGATCACCTGGAGCAGTTTCAAATTTAATTAAATCATTGGAATGGGAAAATTTAGAAATAAGAAGGAAAAAAGCTAGATTAACTATGCTATATAAAATAAATTGGGGGTTAGTGGAAGTTCCTAAGGACAATTTAACAATATCTGATAGACGTACTAGGGGGAAACATAAATTTAGGCAAATATCAACAAATAAAGATTTCTATAAATTTTCTTTTTATCCTCGCACTATTTCGGACTAGAACTCACTACCTGAAGCAATAGGTATGTCTGACACCCTGGAATCCTTCAAAAGTGGCATATCCACTCTAACATTTGAAGGATCCACAACAGCTTATTAAACTACAAAGCCACTGTACATAATGTATATATGTTATTGTTAATGATTTTTCTTTGTCATATTATTTTTAAATTAAGTCCATATGTACATATATAGCACACAAGTTCCGGGAAGTTTTACACTCCTACCTAGGAGTCTACTCCCGTATTCGGAAGAAGTAGAAGAAGTAGTGTTTCATCGCCTTTTTATCAGTTTATTAGTCCAAGTAATCAATATTATCATGACTTCTTGAAAGGCGTCACATTAAAAAAATAGGACTAGATATGTCTCGGCCTGACAAAAAAATTGCCTTTAACATTTGAAAAAACTCTGACAACAACCAACCTTATTATTTTTATTTTAGCAATAAATTAAAGTGCATGCACTCGGTCTATGTTTCGTTGCTCTTGTTTTCTGTGTTCTTTTTCACTGTTTGAGACATGGTTATTGTTTTACCTGGAACATAATATTTTATTCAATAGAGGAAGTTTGCGTCTAAACAATATGATATCTTCAGACAAATTGTTTAACTTTATTTGTAAAAACTCTGTTTTGTTTGATGGGATTAAGTAAGGGAAATGCTGATTTTTCTGTAAATTGAACGTGCAGTGGGAAAATACCTGTGTGGGGACATGACGTCATTGCTTTATGACATCCTGAATTTTGGAAAACGTCCTGTTCGAAGACAAAGCAATGTCTAACCTTGCTTTATAAAATACAATTTCTTTCAAAAGAATTAAAAAAGATTGATAAATTTCAAAATTAAAGTCTATACGTCTCTTCAATACAGTGGAAGTGGTTGATTTCAAGTGACATAATTTTAAAAATAACACATTCAAGACAGGAAGAAGTCCATCAATATTAATAAACATATTTACACTTTTGGTATAAGCTGAATTTTGTCTTCGAATGACCTTAGATCTTCTCCGAATAACCTTCTGACGTCAAACAACAATCACTTTTTAATTATGACGTCAAATTTTTTAAATTGTGATGTCAAATTTTACAGGAACTTATGTGATTTTAATAATAATGATAATGGCGGACAAATTTGCATACAAGTGTCAATACGTCTATAGTGAATGGCGATGTGTTTGGTTTAATTGACATACCTTCTTCCTTTCTTGCTATACAAAACAAAATATAACATTAATGCCCTGATTAAAGTAAATTCTTTCATTTGATGACAAGATTTTAAAGTGGCGGTAACTACTGGTCATTGTTCCTTCAAAATTCTGCATACTTGGAACTCGTTTTTCGTTGTTTATCATAGGAATTTAAGTTCCGGTCTATGGTGCTAAACAGAACTTTTGTTAACCCTTTTCATGCTTTTTATGTTAAAAGAATATTTCCCAAAGAGTTCCTGTTAAAATCTATTTGAGAAAAACTGAGTTGCTGATGGTAACTGGTCCTCAACCAATATACTATTCCCAGGTTTTACTTTTTTTTTTTTAATAATATTTAATTATCTTTAAATATTTTTAAAAATATTTAAAGATAATTAAATATTTTTTATAATATTTAGAAATAAGAAGATGTGGTATGAGTGATATTCCTTTGAATTAAAGTGTATGAAAATATATGTTATAACTACTATCTTGTATTCTTGTATTGAAAGTTTGTTTTTATCCTTTAGTTTGATTGGAAAACTTTCTTGTCAGTGTCTCAACAAGGAACAAATAAGTCCATAGTAAAGGGTTCAATGTTGATAGTATTCATGTCATTTGTTGACCAGCTAAAATATTTGTTTTCTTTATTTATTGAATTCTCTGAGGAAGGCTGAATTTATGTCATACTGAGAGTCTGATACACAACTAAATGATTAATTCTATAAGTATTTATGCCCATTTAGATTATTGTATTCGAAGTAAAAAAAAACACAAACCAACACACATCCACGTGCATGAGTCCCAGATCAATGTCTCGATATGGTTTTGCAATAACAGGTAGTTAGATTCTCACTTAGTTTAATTAAAGCTAAAAATGACAGATTCATTTAGTGTGTATACTTGTATAGATAGAAATATACCCCAATGTGCAATCACCTGCCATTTCTCATCACTTGGCATCCGTCGTCGTCTGTTAATTTTACAAAAATCTTCTCCTCTGAAACTACTAGGCCAAATATAACCAAACTTGGCCACAATCATCATTAAGGTATCTAGTTTAAAAAATGTGTCCGATGATCCTGCTGCCAACCAAGATGGCTGACATGGCTAAAAATAGAACATAGGGGTAAAATGCAGCTTTTGGCTTACATCTCTTAAACTAAAGCATTTAGAGCAAATCTGACATGTGGTAAAAATGTTTATCAGGTTGAAATCTATCTGAGATGAAAATTTCAGACGAAATAAACACCCGTTGTTGGGTTGCTGCCCCTGAATTGGTATTTTTAAGGAAATTTTGCAGTTTTTGGTTATTATCTTAAATATTATTATAGATAGAGAAAAACTGTAACCAGCAATAATGTTCAGCAAAATAAGATCTACAAATAAGTCAACATGAAACTACTGAGACAAATTTAACCAAACTTGGCCACAATCATCATTAAGGTAAATAGTTTAAAAAATGTGTCTGATGACGCCACCTGCCAACCAACATGGCAGACATGGCTAAAAATAGAACATAGGGGTAAAATGCAGTTTTTGGCTTATATCTCTTAAACTAAAGCAAAAGTATAATGGTTGCATTATTTCATGCATCAATTGTAAACAAAAATATCAGGTGAGCGACACAGGCTCCTTGGAGCCTCTAGTTTTGCAGTAACATTGTATTTTGAAAATTATATGAGCTAGTTTTTGATGTAAACTTCAAAAATGATCAGTATGACAATAAAATTTAAAGATTTGAAATACTC